ATGGTGAAACCCTGTCTTTAAAAAAAAAAAAAAAGCATCAGGCCAACAGGGACTGCACCCATCCAGATTAGGACATAAACAAGCACACTCTTACTATCAGTCCTCACCAGAGTACTCTATGGCCATGCAGAGCAAAACTCTACCAGGTCAAAGCAGCTGTACAGACACAGTCTTGCTGTCGCTAGTGGGAAGCCCTCGGTACCTGCTGCTGAAGGCTCTGCCCACATCAGACACTTCCATGCAAGACAGATTCTCCTTTTCCTTGGATTGGTTAACTTTTCTTCCTCTCCCTTCTCTTGTGAAATGTTACTTTGTTTGATGTGGAATGCCTATGACATTCATGTCTTGATCAAGTATACTATTACATATGGTTTGAAATAGTAACTTAAGGAGTGAGTGTGCCTGTGCGTCTGCAGCTCTGACTACCAAGTGACTGGGAAGCCTAAGAACTGCCTCCTCGGGATCTCTATAACATGCTCCACAGGGCACAGATTTGTCAGGTTTTTTAATAGGCCTTTTAAAAAAGAACAGTTTTAAATTTACAGAACTGAGAAGACAGTACATGGAGAGGGATCCCACATACTACATGTGGCTTCCCCTCTTCTTTCTTTTCGAGACGTAGTTTTGCTCGTTGCCCAGGCTGGAGTGCAGTGGTGCGATCTTGGCTCACTGCAACTTCTGCCTCCCAGGTTCAAGCGATTTTCCTGCCTCAGCCTCCTTAGTAGCTGGGATTACAGGCGCATGCCACCACGCCCAGCTCATTTTTGTATTTTTAGTAGAGACGGGGTTTCACCACATTTGTCAGGCTGGTCTCGAATTCCTGACTTCGTGATCTGCCCACCTTGGCCTCCCAGTGTTGGGATTACAGGTGTGAGCCACTGGCTTCCCCTCTTATTAAAACCTTACCTTATTATGCTACATTTGTTATAATCTTTTTTTTTTTTTTTAAGATGGGGAGTCTTGCTGCAATGCCCAGGCTAGAATGCAATGGTGCAATCTCAGCTCACTGCAACCTTCACTTCCAGGGTTCAAGCAATTCTCCTGCCTCAGCTTTCCAAGTAGCTGGAACTACAGGTGCGTCACATCCGGCTAATTTTTGAGTGTGACCTACTATGCCTGATCCATTTGTTATAATTAATGAACCAATACTGAGACGAAATTAACTGAAGCCCACACTTTGCTAATTTCCTTGGGTTTGACTCATGTCCCTAAGGCGGTACCCGGTACCCATCAGAACACTGTATTACGTTTAGTTCTGTCTTCAGGCTCCTTCCCAGACTCTTCACTTTTGATGACCTTCACAGGTTTGAAGAGTACAGGGCAGGTGTTTTGAAGAATGTCCCGCAATTGAAATTTGTCTGTTTTCTCCTGGCTAGGCTGGGACTGCAGGCTATAGAAAGGAAGCCTCTAGGGGGAGAAGGGCCACTGTCATTCCATCACAGCAGATGGTCACCTCAACTGTAACTCTGTGAGGCTGACCTGAGTCACCTGGCAGAGGTGGAGTCTGTCACAGTTTCTCCACAACAAAGTGACTGTTTCCTTTTCTTTACTGCACTCTTTGGGAGGAAGGGGCTACGCGTAGTCTACGCTTAAGGGGCGGGGAGTTATGGTCCCTTCCTTGAGGGTATCTAAATTTATTTGGGCAGCTTTTGTTTTTTCTTGAGTCAGGGTCTCAGTCTGTCACCCAGGCTGGAGTGCAGTGGTTGCCTGGCCTTGACAGCTTTTTAATAGTTTAAAATGAATTGAGGCTGGGTGAGGTTGCTCACGCCTGTAACTCCCGAACTTTGGGAGGCCAAGGAGGGCAGATCACTTGAGCCCAGGAGTTCAAGACTAGCCTGGGCAACAGGGGGAGACTCTGTGTCTACTAAAAACATAAAAATTATCCGAGCATGGTAGGGTGTGCCTGTAATTCCAGCTGTCAGGAGGCTGACATGGAGAATGACCTGAGACCAGGGAGGTTGAGGCTGCACTTCAGCCTGTATGACAAACTGAGACCCTGTCTATAAAAAGAAAACCAACGAAATAATACCCAAGTCCAACATTTGCAGAACTTCTCTAGACTGTCCACAGAAACCACTCTGCGGTTCTGAGGAACACAGTCCAGGCGAACTGGGCACATCCCCTCCGCCCCACAGTTCTAAATGTATTTTAACACGTAACAATTGTGAGATCCAGGCTCAATCTGGGTGTTTCTGGAAAGGGTGATCCTGCAGGCACAGCCCCTGCTCACTTGGCTGTGTTGCCTGCCTGACTGCTGCTCTCAGGAGACCGCTGCCCGGAGTTTGCTCAAGCCATCCAATTCCGAGTCTGGGAACCAGGAGACTGCTGGACACCAGGAGACAGCCTCCTGACAGCTGGAATTACAGGCACACCCTACCATGCTCGGATAATTTTTATATTTTTAGTAGACACAGAAGGCTGTGGCCTGAGGCAGGAGGAGCAAGTTTCTGGCGGTCGAGTTTCCAGGGCTTCCTGAAGGACATTTAAGTTGTAGTTGCTGAGAATCACAAATTCTTGCGGAGGCTGCACGGTGAGCCTGGGTCGGCGCAGAGCCACGCCGGCACGCTCGGGGCAGGGCCGTGACTGCCCCCAACACGAGCACGCGCCCCCCACCACCTAGGGTTTGCAAGTGAGGGCGCACCAACAAGCGGCGGGACGAGAGAGAAACCCAGAAACCAGCCTTGGACACAGGAGAGAAGGCGATTCCCTTTAGAACACGCCCCAGGAAACCACAGGACCCGGCGGGTCACCCACCGCGTCAGGGTTTTCTGCCACTTCGCTCCAGTTAGTTTCCTGAGTCCCGCCCACGCGCGCGGGCTGCTGAGAAAACGCCCACTCCGACGGCTCCGCCGCAGGTCACAGGCCGTGCGGACCCGGGACTGTGTCCGGGCTTCGGTCACTTCAGCAGTCTCCTCCAGAGTCGGCGGCCCACAGCCAACGACGAACTCCTGAGCTGAGGAAAACGGCCTGGTCCTGTCCCAGTGGCAGCTGCACGCGGGGCGGCCCGCGGGCCACCAAGCTGAGTCTTCGTAGCGCGAGACCAGCAGCGCAAATAGGGGCTCGGCCGGCTTTTAAAACCGGCCAATCACAGCGGGCGTCAGGCCTCTGCGCTCCGCTTACTGGTCCTGCCGGAGGAGGCGGGTACGTGAGCGCACCAATCTGTGGCCGATGAGCATGTAGGGCGGCGCTCTGTCCAGGCTGCACGGCCCTGAGGGCGCGTGCGCGAAACCGGGAACGCGGGCCCCCTGATTGGCGGCGCGCGGCGGGGGCGGCGCGCGGCGGGGGCGGGACCGCGGCTGCGTGACACTTGTCGCGGGGGAGGGCGAGCCCCGGTGCGGGGGAGGGAGTGTAAATAGAGCGAAGGCGACTCGCTGTCAGCCCCGCCACCACCGGGCGTTCCGCGCGGAGTCTGAGGGAGATGGAAGCTCAGCAAGAGCAACGGCGCAGAAAGGTGGAGGCCGGGAGGGCGAAGGTAAACATCAGGGCCTTCTTCTCTTGCTGCTCCGGCGTGAAGTCTTAAGGGCGGCTCCGATGCCAGCCACCGTCCCTTGTCTTCAGCGGACGCGGCCGGCGGAAGCTGCCGTCGAGGTCTTGCTTTTCCAGCCGGCTCCGCTGGAAGCCGCCTCCTGGCCGCCGCCATCTTGAATCCACCGCTCTCCGCCAGGGCCCGCCCCCGCCGCGGCCATAGCCATTCAGCGGCCGGGACGCGCGGCGCCTCTCGGGCGGGCCGGGGCGGGGCTGTGCCTGCTCCGGCGACGAGCCGGGCGCGGAGCACGCCGGGAGGGGCGGGGCTACAGAGCAGGGCGTGGCGAGGGGGTGTGGCTGCGAGGAGGAGGTGTGGCGGGTGCTGGGCCCCAGGCTGGAGCCTCTAGCGACCCCTGCGTGGTCAGGACCCAGGTGGCTTGGGATGGGCGGCGGGTATTCTGGGGGCTGTGCTGTCTCGGGCCAGTTTCCTGCGCGGCCGGGGGCGTGGCGCCTGCAGTCTCAGCGCCTCCTTATGGCGCGCTTCCGCTCCGTCCGTCGGAGACGCTTTCCCACGCGCGTTTCCCGCGGCGTCGCAGCCCCTCCTGGGTGAAAGGCCCCCGTGGCGCTCCTGGCGCCGTTGGGCGCGCGTCCTGCCCGTCCGGGTGCTGCCGAGAAGCCAGCGGTGCTGGCGCCGGGTTTCTCCGAGGGACGCGTTCCCGTCTTTATCCCGCCTTGGGTTTCGTCGTGTTAAGGCGCTCTGTTTAATGGCCACCGTCCTGGGTTTCTTGTGGGGAATAAAGCGCGCAGAGCCCTTGATTCGGGGGCACTGGAACTGGGGTCCCGAGAGCACGAGGCGGAACCTCGGGAGCTGCCGGCACGAGGCTGGCCTCCCTGCGAGGTGCGCCCGGCTTCCCCGGATGCTCGGGCCAGGGTGCTGGGGAAGAGCGGGGCTTCCGGGCGCGGCGGGCAGGGGACTCGGAGCTGGGCCGGCGTTTGAGGGGCAGGAGGGAAAGGGGAGCCCGGAGCCTGCTGGGGGAGCGTGGAGGGTGGGGAGGGGGGACAGGACACAGCCTGTAGGGCGACCCACGCTGCAGACCAGGCCTGTGCTATCCCCTGATGGTTAGGTGTGCTGGAGGAGGGCATGAAAATAAACGAGATGGGGTTGGCTTTGAATAAAGTATTTCCTTGAGAGACCATTTTTTGTCCAGATTGCCTTGTGTAATCTTCCTGGGTCCAGGAGCTTGTGTACTTGTGTTATCATTTATACAAACGTGTGTTCCATGCATTTGTTTTTGTGGCCACAGTTGTCATTTGAGAGAACAGATGCCTCGCCGTGAGAGGCTGACGTGGGATCGCATCCCTCTTGAGTAAGACGTTAGTGGGAGATGAGGCACGCACATAGTCTCAAACTCTCGGATTTGAGGACTGAGCAGAGCTAGACTGTGCCTTCTGATGGGCGATGCTCTGTGGAGGTCCCTGGTGCTTTGGTGAGCTGTGTCATGAAAAATAGAACATCTGATTCCGTAAAGGAAGATGTGAGATTGACCTGGCTTAATTAATTTTTTGCTATTTCTGTACCTTGTCTCAGAATCTATGGCTAGGAAGTTTTGGCTGGGCTATCTATTTCTCCAGTTGGGGGAAAATTGGGGCAAGAAGGGAGAGATTTAGCTTTTATATCATTTTAAAAAATATGCCTCAATTAAGCTATCAGTCTTTTATATAGACGTATTTTTTTAAAGTTCTATTTTTCTGTAAACTGTCAAGGACTAGGAAAGCTGTTCTGCCAGTTAGCCTCCTGGTTTTCTTTTCTCTATCAGGCATAATTAGTAGTCCTCATTGTTAGACCCCTTGGATATAGATATTGCTGAAGGCAGTGTTTGTGGAGAGGGATCTGTTGGCTAGGTGTGGCAGAGTAGACTGGGTCAGCCCTCGGGCTCATGGTCCCCACCAGTCTGTTGACCTTGTGGTTCTGTTATTTTTTTCTTATTTACCTCTGCCTTTACTACTTATCTACGTTTTTGCGCAGCTTGCTCACTTCCGACAGAGAAAAACCAAAGGCGACGGTGCGCATTCGGAGAAAAAGACGGCGAAGAGGAAGGGCTCGGCTGTCAATGCGCCTGTCCAGGAGGAGAGTCCGGTAGCCAAGGACGACAGCGAAGTCCGTGGAGGAGGGGACATTTACAAAAGCCCATCATGTGACGACAGCCCTGATGGGACAGGAGGGGCCTTTGCAGCTCAGGTAGATTTGCTCAGTGTTGTCTTTAAACATTTTGCTTGGTGATTTCTAGTGTGGTTTACTAAAGGTGGTCTTTGATCTGGTTTTTCCCTTTCAAAAGTGAGGAAAGAGGGCGATGTTTTAGTTATAAAAAGTGAGGGCCGGGTGTGGTGGCTCACGCCTGTAATCCCAGCACTTTGAGAGGCCGAGGCGGGCGGATCACCTGAGGTCAGGCGTTGGAGACCAGCCTGGCCACATGGAGAAACGCCGTCTCTACTAAAAATATAAAAATTAGCCATACGTGGTGGCGCACGCCTGTAATCCCATCTACTCAGAGGCTGAGGCAGGAAAATTGCTTGAACTCAGAAGGGGGAGGTTGCAGTGAGCCGAGATCATGCCAGTGCATTCCAGCCTGGGTGACAGAGTGAAACTCTGTCTCAAAAAAAA